GATGGTTTAAAATGTTTTAGCAATTGTATGTGATGACTAGTTTGAAACATTCAATTTGATGTCTCTTAGTGGCTCTTTCTTTTAATGTTGGATGACATTTATGTACTGAGTTTAAATCTATAATGAATTTGATTTATGTTTTATATGTTCTTCCGTACGACCGACTGTTCCCGCCCCGTTTTCAACGGGCTAGCCGGGCCAAGTCGTGACAAAAAGTATCTTTTTGAGTATTTTTGTGTCTTTTCTATTATCTAGGAAGTATTTGTTTTTGCTAGAAAAAATTTGGGTCCCTTCCCAAATGTTCTCTTGTATCAACTAGAGAGGGAGTTGAAGGTTAACTTCAATTATGGATGTCAACCTTAGAGACTAAAAGATTTCATTTGAGTAGATCTAAAATTGAATATAGGGAGTGTGATTTTAGTAATAATAGATATAGTTGGGGGATTGTGACATTGGATGATCAAGTCATTTATAAGAGTACATGTTTCAGATATTTGGGGTCTATTGTTCAAAGTGATTGTGAAATAGATGGAGATATTATTAGTAGAATTCAAGTTGGATGGTTGTAGTGGAGGAATGCATCGGGCTTATTGTGTAATAGAAAAGTCCCTCTCAAAATTAAGGAAAATTTCTAAAAGATGGTAGTGAGACCAATGCTTTATGGTGCAGAATGTTGGCCATTAAAAGCGAAGCATAATATAAGTTATGTGTTGTAGAGATGAGGATGCTTAGGTGGATGAGTGGCTTTAATCTTAGAGACAAGATCCAAAATAAGCATATACGTGAAAAGGTTGGAGTAGCTCCAGTGGAAGATAAGATTAGAGAGAGTTGTCTTAGATGTTTTGATCACATAAAATAACGGTCTTTCGATGACCGTGTTAGAAAAGTAGATGTATTAGATTTGACTTATGTTAAGAAAGGTAGAGATAGACCTAAAAAGGCTTTAGAAAATAATCAAATATTAGAAATGACGTTTTTAATTAGATTTAGATTAGAATTTGGCTTTTAATAGGACACAATGGAGAAAAAGAATTCATATAGCCGACCCCACATAGTGGGAAAAATGCTTGTTGTTGTTTAATGAGTAAACACCATAAGTTATAAGTCTTTTAATCTCTATTGACTTATGCCTAACACTAATTTCTTTATAAACTGTGCACATTCATCTAGGATATTCAAAAAATAATTAACCTCCTCCTAAGATGAGAAAAGTCCATTATATATATATATATAGAGAGAGAGAGAGAGAGAGAGAGAGAGATGTTGCTTATTATACATCCTATCATCGACTATGACAATATCATAAAGCTAAGATTAAGAAAGTGGGGAGAGGGAGGGATAGACCTAGGGCTATAAGTAAACCAATGCACTAAATTAAAACTTGAACAAGACTTGATTAATACTCATTCATATTCTTAGTAATTAAACAAGTTCTAATGATTTCTTAAAACTCAAAGGCTAAATAAATTGTGTTTGAACACAAATCAATTCATTTATTTATGATCATGAAAAAGGTTGTTTATTCTACAACAAGTAACTTCTTAATAGCATGATATTAAACTCCATGATAGCTCAGATATTACTCAAATAAATTCTGATAAAATATTACTTATCTACTTTTAATATATTAATTAGTTATTTATTAGTTTAGGTTACTTTCTCAGTTAACGTTTCTTATTACTACACAAATACATTTCATTATATTAGCATATCCTTTCAAGGTTATAAGTTTCATCACTTTCAGTTTCCCTAGTTACCTGAGGTTCCCTGCGAAGGAAGGATGCATTGAGCTCATGATTTTCATGAACAAACCTGTAAGAACTGAGCACATCTTCTATTTTTCTCCTTCTCAACCAACCTACAATTGATGCAATCGGCGAGCAATTTATGAGCGTATCTCATAAACCTAGATGCATATTCAAAAACACGCTAGGTGAGAATTAAAGCATGCCCGCATGAGAAAGGTGAAAGGCCAAGAGACTCGAATGAAGTCTTGATCAGTAAGAATTTCAAATCCTATAACTCTTGTTTTGATTTCATGACAAAATATATTAAACAACATGATTTCTCTCCCTACAATTGGCATCACTTTTATCTCTAAATTATAAACCCTCGGTTCAAAACAAACGACATATACTCTTTCTTTCTTTCATAGAGAATAATAACATAGTTTGTCATCTACTTTCAAAGGAATAATTATTTAGCTTTAAAGTATTTATATTGTAACATAAATGATGCATGCAAATTTCAGTTTATTTTAATTTTTTTTATTGTAATTTGAATGCTATAGTTTTTTTTTATTTTGTTATGCTACCCTATGATTGAAAGCATCCAATGATCATGAGTAGGTAGTGCTTGGACTTGGCAAACTTTGGGTGTGCTAGCTATTTGGGTTCTTTGGTCTTTGGACTGTTGGTTGCTTCTCGGGTTGGGCTTGGCTGCTCGGTTTTGGGCTGTGTTTTTGGGAGCTGCTTTGTTCTAGCTCATTAATACTTGAGCTGTTGTTTTAGCTCATTATTATGGAAAGTTATCCCACATTTTAGCTCATTATGTGGAGTGGATTCTTGCCCTTTCCCCTTCTCTGTGGCCCTTCGTTTTTTCCCCTCCTGGTTCTTCTTCCCGTGGCCGGTTCCTTCCCCTTTTTGGTTGTCTGTTCTGGTTCACCTGACTGCCTATTCTGGTTCCCCTGGCCATCCGTTCCTTCCCCCTTTGCTGCCTTTTCCGATTTTCTATGTGGCTGTTCGGGTGTTGTTCTGGACTGAATGTTGGCCTTCCATTTCCCCTTACCTGATTGGTTCGGTTGGAGGTGGTTTGGCTATTTGGCTGCCCCTTGAGGTGTTTTGAAGCATAAAAGGTTGTTGAATATTTGAACAAAGTCTCTTAAAAAAATCTGAGGGTTTCTTCCTTCTTGGAAAAGCTTGAGAGCTTGTTCCATTTCTCTCTTCCTCCCTATTATTTCATCTTGGGCTTCTAACCTCTTTCTTCTCTCCAAAAGTTCCACTCCACTTGTATCTTTCTCCTTGAGCTATTGGAGGTGTTGGTTGGCTGATTGGGTAACATTTATCGGAGGAGTTTTAGTGGACGTTGGACATTGTAGCTGTGGTGGACCCTTGGTTTGCAAGCCCTTAAGCACATCTTTGATATTGCCTGCTATTTCATTGCATGTGAGGAAACCGTTTGTCGGTTGTTCTGAGGGTAGTGGTTTTTATTTTTAATTTTGTTTCGTCTGTTTGGCTTTCGTTTGTTTTTAAAGCTTGTTTGGATGTTGGTATTCTAAATGTTGAATCGAGTCATGTTCTACTAGTCTTGGTGTTCTCCTCTCTTGGCTCTTTCTAATCTAGTTGCCTGCATCAATAAATCACACAGAATATCACAAATAATATATTTACAAAATTTTCAAACATTAATGCTCCTACATCAGGTGGTAAAAATATCACTAATTCCTTATGTGTAGTATGATACAAAATGTTGTCATGAATTTCATATCTAGTATATATGCCATAATAATAGTATAACATAAATGTTATGATTGAATAGTGTTAAATATTAAGTATGTCAGTGCCTCGTCTCAACATTGCAATTGGTCATAACCTATAGCTCTTGATTTGTAACAAATAAAAATAAATTCTAGTGTCGACTTCTGGTAGTCAAACCATAGATGATACTCAAGTGGAAGTTGTCGCTGGTATGGTTACAAATGTTCTTGGAGGAGTTGTGAAAGCTATTAATGATAATAATCAAGAGAACCACTTCAATAGGAGTAAAAGAAAGAGAAGTTGAATGTTGTAAAACTAAAAAATGGTATTGAAAGGTACACAGCAATCATTGCAATTTATAAATAAATAAGAATGGCAAATTCAAGGTGATCCACTTTCCACCCTCAATGAATTTAAAACATCTTATTTCTAGTTAATTTTTTATTTATAGTAAATCATCTTCACTTCTATGAGATCAAATACTGTAACCATTTTGAAGAGTTAGTGTAACCTTACTTCCTAATGATTTTTTTTTTAATAATTAGTCTATTATTAGTAAAACTGCTTATTGACTTGATGCAATCCATTATTATCTCTCCATTTCAAGGAACAACATTCCTGGTCCTTATTTAGGTCATATGACTGTAAAAATTCATGATTGAGACTTATTTATTATCTTATTTAATTGTTGTAAAATATTTAGATAATAATTTCATATTTATTAAATTACTTATTCATTTTGACAAGTAAATTATTTATCAATATACCGAGTCCAGTAATCCGTTTATTTTTTAGCTCAACCTTTTCAAGTACTCCAATTATTTTAGTCAAGCCCTAATTATAGTAAAATCTTAAAAAGACAAGTACGAGCATATTTATAAAAGCTTGGCCCAAACTCAAGCCAAATGTGAACAACTTGTAGTACATGACCAAGCCAAGTCCAATTCATAACGCACTCAGCTCGCTTGGCTCAATCACAGCCTTAAAATGTGTCAAGAGGAATTAGCAGGGATGCACAATAAGGGAAAGAGAAGCAGAGGACTAGAACAACCAGATAGTAAGGTGGTGGGTCAATTGATGACAAGAACACCAGGAAACCACTAATAAGAGTAAAAAAGAGTTGTTACATGTTTCAGGTAGCCTAAGAGACAAGTGAAAGGCAAAATCAAACAATTATAGACCACCCACACCTCTTTCAACAAACATCAGATCTTTTTAATATAGAGTCCAACCTAATTAAAGAATTTTATAACTATTGAGGTCACAATGTCCTTGATCCAAACAAGAATTACAACCCCATGGTCAACTTCTTAATGCTAATGTTACTTATTCCATTTACTGAGTAGGGCTGGAGCTTGACACCACAAATTAGAGACAGCCATGTTCAAGTTCAGGAAAATGGATGATAGCTTTAGGAAACTAAAGATGAACAAGACGCTAATAAGCCGTTAAAGAACAAACATTTTATATATTTTAAGAAATATAAAGAAAACATTTTGCCACAAACAAGCGTTTAAGACTAACCAGGAGATAAACACATTGGCGACATGAGAAGGTAATTGATGAGATGAGTGGTTACTACACAACAAATACTGGTTCTAATAAAAATCTCAGCAATAATGAAATTCCTTAAACACAAGTGGCGAACAATTTTTAGAGGCAAGAATCAGCAGAACATACTTATCAAGAAGCCAATAACACCTGCGGTAAAAGTTTGGATCATCCTCCCCACGTGCATAGTATACATGGATCCTTTCTTCGTTACCAATCTGTAATCAAAATTTATAGAAAAGGACCTTTGAGGATGTAGATATGCATTTACTTAAAAAATATCATTCTCAGCAACCACTCCAAATTTTCTTAACGTAGTAAAGCATATATGTACAAATTAAAACCATAATCAATGAAAAAGCTGCCCAGAGTGGAAAGGGGACAACCAATTGAACAAGCTAGAGCAGCATAGATACCAACGGATTGGTTTTAACTTAAAAAAAAAAACAATATATGGAGGTAAAAAAAAAAAAGTAATTTAGTACACCTTATAATCAAAAACTATTAGTAAGCTTCAAATTTCATCAATATTAAAGAAAGTGAACAAAAAGCCTGTACAAAATCCAAAACATATGTATTTCAACCATACAAAACAGAAATTTCATATGACAATTTTTGGGAAGAAAACAAGATTATATATTGTGTAAGGGTGCTTCAAAGAGATGAAATGTGCATACTTGCTCAAATGGTCTACTACTACCACGATCATTGAAAACCCTTCTAATCATGGCAACCCTTCGATGAAATCCATTGTCACTTTCTTCCACACCCTCTCTGATAGGGCTAAGGGTTGTAGTAACCCTACTAGCATCATGGCTAAGTAATTATGCTTTTGGCACACATCGCATTTGGCCACCCAGTTCTCTACATCGCGATGCATCCCTACCCAATATAACTCTGTTGATAATTGACTATATGTCTTCTTAACTCCGGAGTGCCCTCCTATCGCACTGCCATGAACAGCTTATAGTAGTATGAGAATACAACCCGAGGTCCGAGGTAACACAAACCTCCTATAATATAGTAACTCTCTCCTTCAAAACATAACATGGGTAATTGTTTAGATCCTTCAGTAGCTCGTAGCTCCTCTCTGATCTTCCTCAACTCTTCATTCTGCTCATTATCAAGTCTTAATGCCTCCCAATCTACCAACAATGGTACTAACAAGACCGCCAATTGAGGTCACTAGACTCTCCTGGACAAAGCATTTGTTGCCTTATTTTCTTGTTCTGACCGGTATTGAATCTCAAAATCATATCCAAGTAATTTGGATAGCCATCTCTGGTGCTCAATGACCATCTGTTGTTCCAACAAAAACTTCAGGCTCATCTGATTTGTCCTGACTATGAAATGTCTAACATATAAGGCTACCACTTCAGGATAGCCAAGACGATCTCCATCAGCTCCCGCTCATACACAGACTTGAGCTTTGCCTTGGTTGTGAGCACCTGGCTGGCCTCTGATCTAGCATGAATACTGCTCCTAACCCATAACATGATGCATCCGTCTCCACCACAAATGATCTCATAAAATCTGGGAATGCTAGCACAGATATATTGTGCATCACTGTCTTCAACTCCTGGAAGGCTCAGGTCACTCCTCCCCCCACTCAAAATTATCTTTTTTCAATTGCTTCGTTAAAGGTCTTGCTATAATACCATATCCCTTCACAAACTTCTGGTAGTAACCGATGAGCCCTAAGAACCCCCGCAGCTCCCTCAGGTTCTCAGGAAGAGGCTAGTCCACCATGGCCAGAATCATGGACTGGTCAGCCAACCCCTCTCTCTGGACACTACATGCCCTAAATACTCCATCTGTCATTAACCAAATCTGCACTTTTTTCAGTTGGAAAACAGTTGACTCTCCCTCAATGTCTCTATGACAGCCTTCAAGTGCTTCAGTGTTTTACCTCTGTCTTGCAATATATCAAAATGTCATCAAAAAATACTAGGACAAACCTTCGGAGATATGGCTGGAACACTGAGTTCATAAGTGATTGGAAGGTGGCAAGGCATTGGAGAGGACAAAGGGCATCCCCAGGAACTTGTAGTGCCTTTCATGTGTCCTGAAGGTCGTCTTGTGCATATCTGTTGTCTTCATCCTGATTTGATGGTAACCCGACTTCAAATCAAATTTGAAGAAGATCACAGCTCCAAATAACTCATCCAAGAGTTCATCTATCACGAAAAATTGAAATTTCTCTAGCATTGTTTCCTTGTTTAAAAAGCCTTGTAATCTATACAAAACCTCCAGTTGCCATCCTTCTTCTTCACCAATACCGGGCTATAGGACTCACACTGGGTCTAATGATCCATGCATCAATCATCTCCTTGATCAACCTCGTTATCTCATATTTCTAGATGTGGGGGTAACGGTATGGTCTGACACTGATCGGAGAAGTCCCTTTTTTCAAGTTGATGGCATATTCGTGCTTTCAAGGCAGTGGTAACCGGACCGGTGGCTTAAATACATCCTAATATTATTGCAAAATCTGTTGGACCCCCACTAGAACTTCCCTTGCCGTCTATTTTAGAACCCCTTCTATGCTTTGCAACTCTACCAAATATCCCAGCTTGCATCCTGGATTGTCCTGAGCATGGTCTTACATAAGCCGGCATACCCTTGAAGCATTACCTTTTTTGCCTTCCACCTGTGTCTCCATGGTCAATGATTTTCAGTTCACCTTCATATCCCCATAGTATGTAGCCACTTCATCCCTAAAATCACATCCGTACTTCCCAAGTCCAGGGGAAGGGAGTCTTCCACCACCTAAATATCCTACAAGGTCATCACCACCCCTTTACATATCCCCTGCTCCTCTCTATCTTGCATGTTTCCATCATCACCCCACACCCTTCCATCCAGGCTAACTTCAACCTCAATCGGTCCACCACCCAATTTGAGATGAAATTGTGCAACTCAACAATCCACCAAAACTACCATAGATTGCTCTCCAATTTTCCCCCATAACTTTCATAGTGTGATTTCGAGTAAATCCCGCCCAATTTCATAGTGTCCGCGACATCCAAATGCGACTGCTTTGTCTCCTCCAATACATCCTCCAACTCGTCCTTGCTCTCCTCTTCCCCTTCACAGACCATCAAGACTTGAAGGAGGCGATTCTTACACCTATGCCCGGGTATAGATCTCTCATCACACCTGAAGCATAGCCCTTTCGCCCGCCTATTCTGCACTTATGGTTCTGTGAGGCATTTTAAATTGCTTCCAGGATGAACTCTATTGCTCTTCTCCTTAGGTGCTTCCCTCTGAAATGATATTATCTGGGTCCTCAGTGCTACGGTTGTAGAGCTGTTTCTGTAAGCCCCTCACATGGGGTTTCCCTGGCTGGCCTTCTCCCTCTGATGTTTCTCCTCCACCTTTTGTATTAGCTCCATTATCTCTCTTAGCCTTCTAGACCTCAGCACCCTAAGCTCTTCCCTTATGTCTTCCCTAAATCCCTTCATGAAATTTCCTTTCAACCCTTCCTCAAAAATTCCCCTCAGTCTATCTGACAGCAGCTCAAACTTCTCCCGATACTCTATGTCGGTCCCATCTTGAGTTAAAGCATAGAATTTTTCGTGGAGGTCCCCTTCGCGAATGGCTCGAAAACATTCAAAAAAAACGATCATTAAATTCTCCCCAGGAAAAGATCAGATATCTAGCTTCTCTCCACTAAAACCAAGCCACTGCTTTTCCTTCCAAACATATTCATAACGCCATGAGGTTCTTCTCCTTCCGTCAGACCATTGATGGCAAAGTAACACTCCACCCGATACACCCAACTTTGAGCGTATTCCTCTCCGAAGATCGGCATCTTTAACTTCCTCGGCCTATATCCGTACCCCAATGGCTTCTTCCTTTGTTAGCTCCTCCTATGTAGTGGTGGTGTGATTCTCTCCCTTCTTCCCCTAGCAGATTTGGACCCCATGATTTGGCCCCACCATTGCTTCCTCCGATCCACCTTCCTTCCTGCCCAGTTGGTCTCCAAAAGGGTTTGGTCTCCCCCCCTTTCTACTACCCTTTCTTCTGGATACCTCGATGCACCTCCCCTTGGAATCCCTTCAGATGGTCCTTTAGGGAAAACGGCAAAACGCTGTCCACTTCCTCATCCTCCTCCTGAACTTTCTTACCTTTCCAATCAGGCCTAGGAGTAGATGGTGAAGCCTTTCATTACATCTCAATCAATTTTTTCATCATGCCTTCAATGTTTCCAAAACGCCTCTACTTGGAGGAAACCCTTCCCTCCATTACAGAAGATCTTTCCTTCGTTCTAGAATGTTTCTCCTGCATCCTAGCCCTTAAGTTGTTCCATTTCAATCTCACAAGCTTCCATCTTCTTTGCTTCCATTCACAAATTTTGGACTCCAAACTGCAAAAAACAATAAAAAATACTTGGTTAATCTATCCTCCAAACAGCAAAAATCAGCAAGGTGGAAAAACAATTTCAGCATAAATCAGTGATGGGGACTTCAACTTTCAACCTAAGACACCGCTATAATACCAATTTGAAATGCCTTGGAGTCAAACTCAGCAAGGAAAGCAGGAAATTCAACAAAAAATAGCAAAAAAGAATAGATTTAGGATGAACAATTAGTTAATTTTGAATAACTTAATAAGAAATAAAACAGACAAATGATCTACAATTAGAAGAGGTAGATCGTCTCTCCTCATCAACTTGGACGCCGCTAGAAAACCCTCACAGAAAACTACATTAGAAAAAACTTAATCAAAACCTAAGCCTAAACAAAATAGTAATCCCTATATAAGCCTCTACTCTTCCCCCCAAAAAAGCCCTAAGAAATCTCTTTTGCCTTAATTAATTCCCTCCCTATTTTGAATTCAAATTCTCTTCATTAATTCATTATTTAAACCTCCTAGCATATGGAATAATTGGTTTAATGGGGCCCACAAAGGGGGCTAAAATCCCTGTTGAACTGCCCCCCTGTAGTAGGTTTCGCACCTTGCTGTTAGGCCCAAGGTTTAAAATTCAGTAAATAAGCCTTAAGGCGGTTTTTGTCCGTGAGGCGAGGCGTAAGCCTCGAGGCGGTTTGAGACGTAAGCCTCACGGACACAGAATTGCGTAAATTAAAA